AAATATTGGGAAATTTTGGAACAAGACGGAGATAGACTGAAATTGCAGAGTTTTGAAAAATTAAAAAACAAAGTGCGAGACTGGCTTCATTATTATCAAATAATGGAGGCATTTAAATTAGACAGGAAAATTGGCTTCCAGGTGGAAAAATCAAAATTAGAAACAGAATTGTTAGAACCCAATACTAAGAATCTGTCAAGAATGTATAACTTGCTGCTGAAATGGAATACTCAAGATGAAACGGTAAAATCGGCTATGATTAAATGGGCACAGGACGTAGGACACAACATTATGTTTGCTGACTGGGAACAGTTATGGACCACTGGTATGAAATTTACGGCATGTAATGCCTTAAGAGAGAATATTATGAAAATGATATACAGGTGGTACATAACCCCAGTCAAGCTTGCGAAAATCTATCACTTGCCCGATAACAAATGTTGGAAATGTAAAGAAACTGAAGGTACATTTTTCACCTTTGGTGGACGTGCCCAAAGATTAAGGTTTTCTGGGAAATGATATATAATGAATTAAAAAGGTATTTAAGTATACCTTCCCCAAGAAACCAGAGGCCTTTCTCCTGGGCATAGTGGGCCAAATGGTGTTAAAAAGGATAGAACTTTCTTTATGTATGCAACAACAGCAGCAAGAATACTCATCGCAAAGTATTGGAAGACACAAGAACTTCCCACGCTGGAGGAATGGCAGATGAAACTTATGGACTATATGGAATTGGCGGAAATGACTGGTAGAATCCGTGACCAGGGAGAAGAGTCGATGGAGGAAGATTGGAAGAAATTCAAAGACTATCTTCAGAAACACTGCAAAATTAAGGAATGTTAGAGTGATGTTGGATTGAAAATAAGTGGTTTCCAGCTGTACAGGTTAAAGCTAAGGATAGATTAAGATTAAAGATTAAGATTAAAGATGTTTAAAGAAATGGAAATTTGATAATAAAAGGGAAAAATTTAAAGGTATATGACATTAAGAACAAGGATTATGTTTAAAAAGCTGACTCTATATAGTTTAATATTTTATTAAATTAAAGATTGGGTTTAAAACAGTGGAAAAGAAACTGCTGGACAAATAATGTAGATTGGAATACAAAAGAGGGAGGTATGAGGAAGTCCAGAAAATAAGTAATTCAAAATTGGGAATGTAAAAGAGAGTTTGTTTTAAATTGTTATGTTGTGTGTTTTTATTGTTAAATTTTGTATTGTTTTTTTTGTGTGTGTGTTGTTTTTTCTTTTTTCTTTGTTTAAAACTTTAATAAAAATTATTCAAAAAAAATAAAAAATGAATTGTATGATAGTGAGAGGCTCACACGAGCCTGCAACCAGCTATCTGCTGTGCATATAACTGGGCTACATAAAGGAACATGCTAGAGCGAGTTAGGAAGGATATTAATAAACAATATATCCTCTCCTGCCACCCTGAACATTCCCACAAGTTCACCTGTCGTCTTTCAGGGCCATCTCCCCTCTGCAGCACAGCTTACAACAAGCAGCTCGAGGGCCAGTGCTGACAGAATGGAGCTTGAATTCAAGCCAGCGGGTCTAAATAAAAACCAGAGTTCTGGCTGCAGGGCCTTGTCGAGAGAGACACGCAGGAGCTAAGATGCTCTTAAGCACAGGATTCTTCCCGATAAGCACGTAGCAAGCTAGCTGGTGGGTGCCATGGCATGACGTTGGAGAAGCAACATCTGCATTTAATCGAATGACTCCACTCAGATTCATCTGGAAGCCCATCAATCTTGCAATAAAGGCATCGCAGCCCTATCAAATATCTCTGTTTTTGCAAGGCAAAGGGCCCGGAGGGGGGGCATCCATTAATATAATAGGTGCGGAAAGAACCAACTTTTGGAGCTTCAGGGCAACAGCTCTGCTGTGAATTGATGCAAAGTCCTTGGACGACTTTTGCGAGGGCCCCCACGTGCATCTGGGGAAGGGGGGCAAGCTCTGCTGTGACTTGTTTATGTGTAGCCAAAAAATGGCCCATAGTTTTCGCAAGGTGTGAAACCCAATAAAGAGGAACAGTGTTGATGATTGAAATACGGGCATTTTAATTAAAACGCCTGCTTTTGTGAGCCAGGCGAGGATTGGAGGGTATGGCCTCATCCTGGTGGTTTTGGATGACGCCCTAAGAATAGCTGGGCTTCTTGCTGATCCATCACCAAACACTGCAACAAGAATCTATTCGAGTTTATCATTGCAGAAATGAAGCCTCTGGGACCCTGTGAAATGTCAGGCCCCTGGCTCACCGGGCCCAGTGTTTTCTGCTCTCTGACTGGTGGTGCCTTTGCGGGGATTCAGCAGGGCTGGCTCAAGACATTTTGGCACCTGAGGCAAACCACAAAATGGTTCTTCTTCTTCTTCCTCCTTGGGAGATCCCTCCTAGCTAAGTAAGATTGTCTTCCATAAACACGGTTTTAGCAATGAGTCCGTAAGTGACTGTGGAGGCCAATTCTGGATCCACACATCCTTTCACCGTGGGGACATTGGTTTCCGGGCAGAAGTTGATCCCGGTGTGGATTTGCCAAGCGTGCCTTCCTCCTAGCACGTTTCTCCCTTGCGTCCTGAGTTCGAGTGTCTTCAAAGCCTGTGAAACCTTTGGTCGAGGCTGTTCTCCAACTGGAGCACTCGCAGGCCAGTGTTCCCCAGTTGTCGGTGTTTTTGCTACATTTTTTTTAGATGCTCCCCACCCAACAGGGAAGATTAACAGCGTTTCCGTGTGCTGCTCTGGTTCGCCAGAAGTGGCTTAGTCCTGCTGGCCACATGACCCGGAAGCTGTACGCCAGCTTCCTCGGCCAATAAAGCGAGATGAGCATCGCAACCCCAGAGTCGGTCACGACTGGACCTAATGGTCAGGGGTCCCTTTAACTTTTTACACAACAGGGGAGAAGGGGCAGGTGAAGACCTACATCAGGAGCAAAAGGGGAATAAAGACCTACATCGGGAACAAGAGAGGAGATCTATTTAGGGAAAAGAGGGGAGGGCAGTGGCACCTTGGAGGCCAGATCTGTTGCTCTGGTGGATCCTGTCACCTTAGATGGCCACCTCCCCTTGCCTCATCAGTGGGCTGGTCTTAGGTTTCAGGTGGAGGTCTCACTTATCAGCTTCCTTTCTTAAACTAAGGTTACCAGATTTTTTTCAATGAATCTGGGGACACTTCTCAACTTCAATGGATTTTGTATGGGGACTGATTTGTAAATCCGGGGACTGTCCGCGGTATGGTAACCTGTCAGAGGACTGCCATCGGAACAGAGGAGGGAGGAAGGGGGGCCGTTGGGATACAGAGAGCCTCTGAAACTCCTGAGGGACAGTTCCTCTTCCAGCGGTGGGAAAAGCCACACCTCCAGTGGAGAAGAGAGGGAAGGGGCCAGCCATGTGAGGGAAAGGCCCGAGGATGCTGCTAAGAGCCCCAGCGCCTCACCTCGCCAGGCTGGCCAGGAGGGACGCACGGCACTTCCATCGCCCAGCTTGCGCAGATGGGTGAAACGCAAGGAGGGGAGGAGGAGGCTTGGGGTGCCGAAGTTCTTACTTTGCGGGAGAAGCTGGATGGGGCCACTCCCGGATTCTGCAAGTGACTGAGAAGGACATGAACTTTATAGATCTGCACTGTAAATAGTTTGCACAATAAAACCTGTAAAAGACAGGTTGGAATCCTGCCTGGTTACTCACGAGCAACCACCATCAGGATCTGACATAACCTTATCTTAAGCAGTCTTTCGTCACACAGAGATGGCAGTGCCTTCCTCTCGCATTTCAAATTCTCCCCTTCCACGAAGCCTTTGACACAAAGTCCACATACCTTTCTTTGTGCCTTTTCATTTTCTCTCGCCCTGGCCTCACAGGAACGTAAGGAGCTCCTGCTGGATTGATCTAATGTCCCATTTAATCCAGGTGACAACCAGGTGCCCCAGTGGCAAGAATCCCACAAGCAGGTTCTGAGCACAAGAGCAACCCTCCCCTCTTGCAGTTTCCAGTGTCTAGTCTTCAGAAACATCGCTGCCTCTGTGGCAGTAAGGCCTGGCCATCAATAGCAGCCTCCTCCCCCATGAATTCGTCCAATTCTCTTTTATATTCTGCTAGATTGGTGGTCATCCTGCAGCAGTGAGTTCCATAGTTTAACTATGCACTGCATGAAGAAGTACAGTGGTACCTCGGGTTACATACACTTCAGGTTACAGACTCCGCTAACCCAGAAATATTACCTCGGGTTAAGAACTTTGCTTCAGGATGAGAAAAGAAATTGTGCTCCGGCAACGCGGTGGCAGCAGGAGGCCCCATTAGCTAAAGTGGTGCTTCAGGTTAAGAACAGTTTCAGGTTAAGAACGGACCTCCGGAACGAATTAAGTTCTTAACCTGAGGTACCACTGTACTTTGCTTTCTCTGTCCTGAATCCTCCAGCAGAGATTTCCTCTTTCCTCTGTCTCTCAAAATAATTTTATAATGCTAAAAATGAAAACAATAAGCAAGACATAACAACAGAAAAGAAGCTTCTTGTATTCCCCACCCCTCTCACCTCCCTCACCCTCACAAGTCAATTAATAAAACTTACGCTTGTCAGTTTTGTTTCATTGTGCAACTTGGAGTGATCGGAAGGGGTCGGGGTGAAGTTTCGTTTTTCCGTCACAGTGGAGATGAGAAAGACGACCATCAACCTGACACGACAGTGCTGTTTAATGTTGTCGTTATGACAGCTATATCTGTCCTTGAATGGATAATTGTTCTCTCTCCTGATTGCCATTAATATATGAAACGAAAAGGCCCCCCCCCAATAATGAAAGTGTCTGGTTTCTCTTGCATTTTGAAACCACCCGTTGTGTGACTTTGCCCTTGAAACAGAGCATAAATATCTTTATTTGTGCATTTTGATTTCTCCGACCCTTGCCTCTTTCCCCCTTTTCCACTGCCAAAATTGATCGTCTCTTTTATAAGATTAAAGTATCTTAAATTGTTGTTTCTCTCCTTTGTTATTTTCCCATACTGCTTTTTCATATGTGTGTATGTGTATTTGGTTAAACTGCCTTATTTGCTAGAAAATCAGAATAGCAATACATAAAATTTAGATTGCATTAACCCCACCAGGGCAGGATATATAGATATATGTTATTTGGTAAATTGCAGTATACAGTCATGGCAAAAATGAATCATCAGTTCTGTGACGTCCCATTTTACATTCTTATCTTTTGCAAACTCAATTCAATTTTGACCATGTTGTAACTGACAACAATTGCCCCAGAAGTCAGATAGATCTATGCATCATCTTTCCGTTTGCGGACATGAAGACTTAAGCTGATATTGTTCACATATAAATAACAGAAAAAGGGAGCTATTATCAGAACCACCTGTTCATTTCCAGACACAAAATGTTTGCCCTATTTTTTCTCTCTTATGTCTTGAATCATTCCAGGAAGATGACGCAGGCTGCGTGGGCAAGAGGCCAAAATCCTCTTTCTGGGTATCTTCTCGGACTTTGCTTGGCAGCTTGAAACAGCACCCTCTGCTCATTGTAGTGATCACAAGAAAACAGGGAGGTGAAGACAAGCTCGGGAGGTAGGTGTGGCGGTAGATCAACGTTCTTGCAGATCAACATAAAGGTGAATCAAGCACAGATTCATCCAAGGCAGTGATGGCAAACCTTTTAGAGACCGAGTGCCCAAACTGCAACCCCATTGGAAGACACAAGATCTACCCACACTGGAGGAATGGCAGATGAAAATGATGGACTACATGGAATTGGCGGAAATGACTGGCAGAATCCGAGACCAGGGAGAAGAGTCGGTGGAAGAAGATTGGAAGAAATTTAAAGACTACTTACAGAAATATTGTAAAATTAATGAATGTTAGAATGATGTTGGATTGAAGTTAAGTGGTCTCTAGCTGTAATGGTATAAAAGAATATGGAAAAATTGGTTTTTAATACGTAAAAATTTAATGTTATAATATATCAAGATTAAAGATCAGGATTAAAAAGGAGGGAAAGGAATTGCTGGACTAACAAATTGAATTGGAATACAAAAGAGGGAGGTATGAGGAGGTCCGGGAAACAAGTAAATGTAAGAGAAGTGATGAAAAGATGGAATTGTTTTCAACTGTTTTTTCTTTTTTGTACTTTGTATTTTTCCTTTTTTATTGTTATTTTTCTTATTAATGTAATCTTTTTCTTTTGAAATTTTAATAAATATCATTAAAAAAAAAAAAAAACTGCAACCCCAAACCCACTTATGTATCGCAAAGTGCCAACACGGCAGTTGAACCTGAATGCTGAGGTTTTAGTTTAGAAGGGGAGGTTGGCGCATCCATGTGGAAAGAGAGTGAAGCACTACAGTGGTACCTCGGTTTTCGAACAGCTTAGTTCTCGAACTACTTGGAACCTGAACACTTCAAACCCAGAAATGAGTGTTCTGGTTTTCGATTTTTTTTCGGAAGCTGAACATGCTCTGTTCTGAGTGTAACTTCCGTTTTGAGCGCCACACTTCCATTTTCAGAGTGAGGGAAGGAAGGCTGGATGGCAGGCGAACAGGCACTCCCCTCAAACGAGAGTTTAAAGGAGCCCCTATCTCCACATCAGATCCCCTGCAAACTCATGAAGGCAGCTAGGCTGAATAGTTGCTGAGGTTGGGGAAGGTGGAGGCAGCCCGGAAGCTGCATCTGAGAGCCCGTGCACCACCTGAAGGCCTATTCCTGCTCCTAGGTAAAGGTAAAGGGACCCCTGACCATTAGGTCCAGTCGTGGCTGACTCTGGGGTTGCGGCGCTCATCTCGCTTTATTGGCCCAGGGAGCCGGCGTACATCTTCCGTGTCATGTGGCCAGCATGACTAAGCGAACCTTCTGGCGAACCAGAGCGGTGCACGAAAACGCCGTTTACCTTCCCGCCGGAGCGGTACCTATTTATCTACTTGCACTCTGACGTGCTTTCGAACTGCTACGTGGGCAGGAGCAGGGACCAAACAATGGGAGCTCACCCCGTCACGGGGATTCGAACCACCGACCTTCTGATTGGCAAGTCCTAGGCTCTGTGGTTTAGCCCATAGCGCCACCTGCGACCCTTAGTGCTCTAGTAGGTGCATGCATATGCAGCAGCTGAATTGTCCTTAAAAATCTGGAACGTCCACCAGTGATTCTATGGGAAACAATTAGAGAAGCACTCCTAATGGCGGTTGCAGTTTGATACTCTAGATGGGAACAAAACTTCCTCCTGGGGAGAGAGGCTAAACTGATCTGTGATCAAAAATGGGTGTCTTGTTGTGAACTCCAGCTGCAAATCCAATTAATGCAAGGTCCAGAGAGAGCAAAAAGGTCACCCTGCAGAGCAAAATGTGGAGAGAACCCGCATCCCAGCTCGGCACCCATCACCCTGCCTTTTAATCTTTGCTCTCCTTGGCATTATAAGGCATCAAGATCGGTCACCCGTGACTTTGCAAGAGGTTGCCTCTGACAACTTTCCCATAAAGATTCCTCTTTGCTGGTGTCGAGCAACACAAAGGAAGTTGCAGGATCTGTTCTGGGAATGCAGAAGGTGGGGGGGAATGCAATCTGCAAATATCATCAGGAGAGAAGCCGTCCATGCATTCATGCAAACCTTGCAGGAAGGAGCGAATGGAGAAATTTAGATACTTCGTCCCAGGAAGCCGAAGGTGTCTTGATGATGGCAGCAGAGCAGGGCTTGGTGGGCAGACGGTCATTTCCTGAGCAATAATTGTGGGCGTTAAGGCAACCTTTCCTTCTTGCCAATGCCCTTTCCAGTGGCGAGTTTCCTACTGTTTGCCCAAATCCAGCTCAAAGTGACTCATTGCCCAAAGGTCTTCCCCCAGTCTCCTTGGGTGACTCTTATCTTCAGCTGCCAGCCGTCTCCCATTAGGACTTTTTTCCTTGAGCGGAGCTGAGATCGCCCTTTGCTAAATTATTCCTAATTATATCGCCAAGGCCCACCCCAAACAAGCTCCCTCCACCCTGGGTGTTTACATTTCTCTAGGGCAGCACCCCAACCACCTCCCACGCCCGGCTCCAGGCGCTGAAATGCGCCTAACCTTTTCCTGCGGCTCCAAGTTTGGTGATCAGGCGGCTATATTTATCCGCCACCAAAGAGGTGCCTCTCAGACATAATGACTTTCTCCTGCCATTTCACAGGAGGAGAAAGGAAGCCGGGTCACCTTCCGCCTGCCTCTGCGTGGAGAGGTTGCAAAGCTCAAATGAGGCGGCCCCTTAATCAAAATATTGTGGGCATTAGGTTTTCCTCCACCCTTCATTTTGAAACCACAGGGGAAGCAATTAAAGCAAACGGAGGTCACAGCTTCTAATCCAAGTCAGAGATGTGTGCGGTTGCCCTAAGGCAGGGAAAAGGCTTGAATTAATGCAATATTTTGCAATATTTTATGGCTTGCTGCAGTTTGCGTATTATTTGTTTGATAAAATCTGCACACCACTTGACTGTAGAAGAAGCCCCTCAAGGATCAGTTGGAATCTCCTTTCTTGTAACTTGAAACCGTTGGTTCCGGTCTTACCCTCCAGAGCAGGAGAAAGCAAGTTTTCTCCATCTTCCATGTGACAGTCTTTAGATATTTGAACTTGACTATTGTAACTTCGCCCGGAAAGAGCTTTCTGACGGTAAGAGCTATTTGACAGTGGAATGGTCTCCCCTAGAAGGTGATGGATTCTGCTTCCTTGGAGGTTTTTAAACAAAGTTTCGATGGCCATGATCTGTCAGGGATTCTTTAGGGTTGGATTAGATGACTCCTAAGGGACGCCAGTTGTGCTGTGGGTTAAAGCACAGAGCCTAGGGCTTGCCGATCAGAAGGTTGGCTGTTCGAATCCCCGTGACGGGGTGAGCTCCCGTTGCTCGGTCCCAGCTCCACTGCCAACCTAGCAGTTTGAAAGCACGTCAAAGTGCAAATAGATAAATAGGTGCCGCTCTGGTGGGAAGGTAAACAGCGTTTCCGTGCGCTGCTCTGGTTTGCCAGAAGCGGCTCAGTCATGCTGGCCACATGACCCAGAAGCTGTATGCCAGCTCCCTCAGCCAGTAAAGCCCAGAGTTGTCCGCAACTGGACCTAATGGTCAGGGGTCCCTTAACCTTTATACGACTCTTGGATGTATCTTCCAGCTCCACGGTTCTATGATTCACCCCATCTAGACTAAACATCCCCAACTCCTTCAACTGTTCCTCATAAGGCTTGATTTCCAGAATCTTGGTTGCCCTTGTTCTAGCTTGTCAACATCCCTCTTAAACTCTGTTGCCCAGAATTGGACACAGGATTCCAGGTGTGGTCTGACCAAGGTAGAACTGAGTGGCCCTATTGCTTCCCTTGATCTGGACACTAGACTTCTGTTGACACAATAGCATTAGCCTATTTCTGCTGCTGCACCCCACACTGTGATGTGAATTTGGGGCAGGAGAAGGTGCCTTGAGTTTAGGGCTAGGGGTAAAACCCTCATAAGTGTGTGCTTGTGTACATCCTCCTGGGCAGCTTTCCCTTCTCAAGATCTGGTGGTCCTGCACAGGGCCTCGCCACTTGCCGTGATAGCGGGGCTGGTGTTGATGGGCTTCCTGATGGCAGTTCCATGCAGCCGTCATTTTTTCTTGTGTTGCAGGATCCTGCGCAGCCTTCGCCTGGGGCTGCTGGAGGAGGAGGAGGAGGAAACAGGCTGCCTAGCGCCAGAGCGCAAAAACATCTCTTCTGCAGTCAGAGGAGATGTTCGGCTTCTCCTGGTGGGTTGACGGCTTAGATGAGGGCTTACCTTCATTTTCCACCTTTCTGCCGCAGTAATTGCTTTCCCGGGCACTCTCTTCGCAGCCGCTAATGAAATGATCTGGCCTTTCCAACGTCTTGTAATGTGAGCACATTGCCTCTTGGAAAACGGAACTGCTCTCTTATTTTTTATTTGCAGTGGGGGGAGGTGAATGAGAGACTCAAAAGCCTGGCTTCATTTCCACCTTCTCAGGTGCGGCAGAACTGGATCCCAAGAGATGGCCTCTGCTGGGAAGGGGCAGGGCTGAAACCTGCTTTCGGTGAATAACATCAGGAATTGCTGTTCATTCAGGGCGATGCTGATCTTACAAGCTGATTTATTTAGTTACTCTGCTTTATTTGTGAATCAACTTCCTACGAAACATCTCAAAGTGATTTATTATTGCTGTTGTTATTTATTACGATTCTCTACCGCCCGTCATCCGAGGATCACAGGGCGGCTTACGAGATAAGGACACAAAAATACATACCATGCTAACAAAGGAAAACAATAAACAGCACCCCAGTAACACCTTTCCCCCATGAAAACATGCATATAACAATTTCACACAGAGAGATACCAACATAGATATAGCCTGGAGAGGAGAAGACTGAGAGTTGATACAGTAGCCATAAGCAGATATCTGAAGGGCTGTCCCATGGAAGATGGAGCAAGCTTGATTTCTCCTGCTCCGGAGGGTAGGACTCGAACCCATGGCTTCAAGTTACAAGAAAGGAGATTCCGACTAAAGATTAGGAAGAACTTTCTGACAGTAAGAGCCGTTCAACAGTCTCTCTCTGGGGGTTGTGGACTCTCCTTTGTTGGAGATCTTTAAGCAGAGGTTGGACAGTTATCTGTCACAGATGCTTCAGTTGAGATTCCTTCATTGCAGTGAGTTGGAGTAGATGTCCTTTGGGGGTCCCTTCAAACTCTAGTTCTGTCACATCAGTTCAAATGCCTGTCTAAATGAGAAAAGGACTGCCTGAAAGTGAATACAGAGGGAAAAGACTTGTCAGATACAGCGCTGTCTTTAGCATATGCGCCGCTGGGGTGCAAAGATCTGCCCAGTGCCCCCAAATTTAGTTTAGCCCCCGGGTTAACTTTTATTATGCTTATGTCAGAAACCATGCTTACACCTTGTTTACGAAAGAAGGGAGGGAAGAGAAACAAACTTTTTTGTTTGCTCATTTCTTTACAATACACTTATACTTAAGTATGCAACACCATCACACTTAAACTTATAAGTATTGTTTAGGCACCTACTTAGGAGAAACATCAGTCGTATCAAAGGTGCCGCTGACTCACCGCGCTGCCGCATAGCAGCTCAACACAATATGAACATAATATTTTGATGTAAGAGTTAATTTCGCGGGCACAGCACCGTTGAGAATGACAAGCGCCATTGTTGAGTCTGACATGCGCCGCCGTTGTGAATGACAAGCGCCGCCACTGGTAAATGTGCGCACAAAGTCGAAAGTCCTTTAGTGAAACAGTAGGTATGGATTTCGGTAATACCTATGTATATATGTATTTTGTTTTTCTAGCTTGATCAAAATTATTTATTATTTCATAGCAGGTAGATAGCTAAGAGCTTAGGCGGCTTCAGCGACGGGCACCTGGCACCCCCCAGAATTTGGTGCCCGGGTGCCCTGCCCCCCTTGCACCCCCAGGTAAAGATGGCCCTCGTCAGATATATCCTGGAAGACCACCTCCATGCTCCCCACCCACTGGATTTCAAAAGAAATTGGGACTTTTGGCGCTGACTACAGGGCTTGGAATATGGGACGCAGGTGGCGCTGTGGGTTAAACCACAGAGCCTAGGACTTGCCGATCAGAAGGTTGGCGGTTCGAATCCCCATGATGGGGTGAGCTCCCATTGCTCAGTCCCTGCTCCTGCCAATCTAGCAGTTCGAAAGCACGTCAAAGTGCAAGTAGAGAAATTCCCAGCAGGAAGGTAAACAGCGTTTTCGTGCGCTGCTTTGGTTCGCCAGAAGCTGCTTAGTCCTGCTGGCCACATGACCCGGAAACTGTACGCCGGCTCCCTTGGCCAATAAATCAAGATGAGCGCCGCAACCCCAGAGTCGGCCACGATTGGACCTAATGGTCAGGGGGTTCCTTTACCTTTACAGGGCTTGGACTTGGTTTAGGCTTCTATGTCTTCTTCCTGTTTTATCTTTTTAGAGATAGCCTTGCTTATACCCCCTCCCCAAGTTGGAGTAGCTGTTTGTCAGGCTGCCATGATTCCAGGAGCAAAGTTGTGTGTGTGCACATGGAAGGGAGGCGGGAGGGACGCTTTGGCACCTCATACCCACTGAATGTTTATTTTAAACCGTGGGTGACATATTCTAGGAAATGAGGCCTGGAAGCCCATTCGTGTGCGCTTTCTCTCTCTACCCTTTTATAGGCCCAAGTGGTAAACAATCCAGTTTGGCACAGTGCTTTAATTTGTCCAAGGGAGCCCTGGAGGAAGGAAAAGAAACTTCGCACCTCTCAGAATGGAGCCGGGGAACCCTTTTTCGCATGACTCATTTCTAGGGCGCCTTTAGGATTGCGTCATGTCCAGAGGAGGCCAGAGTGGTTTGGGACGGTGGCAAATGTGCCTCTCAGAGAAGCGGTGCCCGCAGGGCAGAGAGGAAAACCACACCTCGTCTTCTGGGGCCTTGTGGGTACTGTGTTTCTCATTGCCCACGTGTCTGTGGCTGGTGGAATCGCCGCTGTTGCTCATATGAGTGTATTTTAATCCATTTGTATGCAAATGCAGGGGCCAATTGTCTTCTCAGTGAATAAATAATATTGCACGGGATGGAGAGTTGCTTGTAAGGCTGGAGTAACTAACAGCCCAGTTAATTCCGTATTTTCCCTGAAGAAGAGATTAATTGCCTGAAATGAAGAGACTTTTTTATATTCCTCTTTGAGTAAACATACACATCCTTCATGCACTGGGATCTCCCCTGTTGTTGGACAAATCTTCACATTGCAAACCCAGTTTGAAAGTTCCTAGGCTTTGAGTCACCATCTGTCCTGTATGATCTAGTTGAGATTCTTGCATTTCAGGGGTTGGACTAAATGACTCTTGTGGTCCCTTCAGACCCTACAATTCTGTGATTCTATGACTGAACTATTCCCTTCACCCTGACTTGATACTTGCTGGCCTTCAATGTGTTGCTTCTGTTACAGGAATTCTGAACAGACTATCAAATTGAAATTTTGACGCAGAATCTTCTAAGAATAAAATGCTGTTTTTGTTTTAATAAAAGAGGATACAGATCATCTTACAGTGGAAGACGGCCCTTCCTCAGGACTTTCCCCCAGAGGACCTGGCCACCCAAAAGTGTTTTGCAAACATTTTAAGCAAAATCCAGGAATAATCCAAACTCGTGCAGCTTTGCATGATGTCAGCAATGTGTTTCCATAACCCCAACACAGCCAAGGAATCCCCTCCGCAGAGAAATCTGTCACGAAGCAATTGTTTATAGCTTGAGAGAGCAGACAAAAACATTTGCTTTGTCAAGTTTCTGGCTGATTGATGAGCTTTTATAACAATATGTTTTACAGGAGTCTGGACTAAATGACCATTGATCCTGCAGGTCTCGTCTAATATTTTTAAGGGTGAATAAGGATCCTGATCTTCAACTTTCTTTTCTTTAACAATTAAAATAAGGCAAAGGAAGTTACTCAAAAATATCGCAGATGAAATAGTGTTCAGGTACAGTTAGAGATTTCTCTCTCTCTCTCTCTCTCTCTCTCTCTCTCTCACACACACACACACACACACACACACTGCAGCTAAAGGACAAGGGATCTGTGCTGGGGTTTTTGTGTGCGGAGAAGACAAGGATCCTATTTCAATACAATATTTATAGGTTTGGGAAGCGCCAGGAACATAAGCTTTATAATAGTTATTAGGGGTTTTATGGATGCTGGATGGACGAGCGGTTTCGATGGGAGCCAACCATGTGTGTGTGTATATATATATATATATATATATATATATATATATTCTTTTTAATGAAAAGATCATTTTGGTCTGGCAGGAAACCTCAACAGGACCTTGAAACAACAAAGCAAAGAATAAGCAAAACTGAAAGTGTGCAAAGTAATTGCCTGCCTCAGCTCTGCTGCTGCTGGAGCTGCACGGTGGATCTGCCCCAGATGTCCAGAGACAGAGAGCCTTTCAGATGACCCAGGAATAGTAGTAGTAGTAGTAGTAGTAGTAGTAGTGGTGGTGGTGGTAATTTATTATTTATACCCTACCCATCTGGCTGGGTTTCCCCAGCCACTCTGGGTGGCTCGCAACAGAATATGAAAAGCACAATAAAACATCAAACGTTAAAAACTTCCCTAAACAGGGCTGCCTTCAGATGTCTTCTAAAAGTCAGATAGTTGTTTATCTCCTTGACATCTGATGGGAGGGTGTTCCACAGGGTGGGTACCACCACTGAGAAGGCCCTTTGCCTCGTTCCCTGTAGCTTCGCTTCTCGCAGGGAGGGAACCACCAGAAGGCCCTCGGAGCTGGACCTCAGCTTCCAGGATGGATGATGGGGGTGGAGATGCTTCTTCAGGTCTACTGGGCCCAGGAAGACGACTTTTGCATGTTCTTTCTATGAGCAGGCCAGTGACTCTGGAGTTTTCTCCTCCTCCTCCAGGGGTTACTCAGATTCCTTACTTCAGCCTCTGACAACCTGGCACCATTCAGATGTTTTGATCTACAACCCCGGACAAAGAGTCAGAATGAAAGGCTGTCTTACATAGAATCACAGAACTGGAGAGATGGAAGGGACATCTGCAATGCAGGAATCGCAGCTAAGCTGGGCCCCGGGCAGAGGCCCCCAATTCCTTTCCCTTGGTGACCCACTGAGGGCTTTCAGGGGCCCAGACTAACCCACCTCCAGTGTCAAACCAGACAATTGACCTGACCCCACGGCAGCCATTCTGGGCACAGAGCAAGAGGAGAATTTATTTTTCAACTGCCCAGGCAGAATCACCTCA